TACTTCCATGGAACTCTGAAGAAGTGGTCATCCCCCACGAACGAAGGACGAAGTTGACGCTGTGCTTAGCCGTCTCGTTGATGTAGATCAGGCTAAAGGGGTTGCTGAAACAAGACCACATCGATCAATGGCTTCTCCAGGAACGGCATACTGCTGAATACTTCATTCCAAAGTATCTGCGTCGCGCTTTTCGACACTTTCAATGAAGACCAGCTTCGTTCCGCTTGGATTCCACCGACGAGCCAATCCTTGAGTACGACATGGTCTTACGGCGTACGATGTTGACTTCATTGACCCTCTGGGGTTCGGTCCGCTCAGCTCCACAACGCTGTCTGTGTAGAAGTGAACGCGCACATCTCGCAACTACTGACTCAATTGCCAGATCGCTCTCTCGTCGAGAGTTCAGCACTTCTCTCGTCACACTTAGGTTGCAAGCCAACCGATAGCTCGCCAAAATATCTTCCGTCACCATCTGAGGAATCGAATATGTGCTCTTCAGTTGAACGGCTTTCCTGTGGACTCCAGGTTGCTGGCACGAGCGAAGATTGCACTGGAGCTTCAATCTCGCATTTCCGCCACTATGACGCTGCTGCGTGGAGCCCTCACCTCATCCGATTCCCACACTGCAAAGCAACAGTCCCAGTAGGGTTATAACCACGCGACACTAATGGGGTGGGAAAATGCACTAGCTCTACTCAAGTACATAACAAGTGTCAGTGAAGTGAACTAAAAACTTACCTCGGAGAGCCGCTGGAGTTCTTTACCATGAATCCGATGTGGATTGCTGCTTTAGGCATGCTTGATCCTTACGGAGTAGATCACCTCGTTCATTAAGCCGAGCGTCGAACTCCTCTTCTGCCATCGTGTTCAACTGCGGCCATTTTGCAATCAGCGTGAGTTCCACAGTGAGAGAAAAATCGCAGCGAAACCCATGCCTTTGGAGGGAAGCGTCTCTCGCTCTTATCTTGCCTTCCCTTGTTTGAAACCAATAGCCCGCCCAAAACATGCCGCGAAACCCACTCTCGAGCCTTCTCGATAAGTGGCCGTAGTACTGTTACATCTGAGGGAGGAAGACGAACAGACGCCGCCCAGCCTTGAGCTCGCCCCCTCCGCCTCCCCACCAACCTTGGCACCTGAAACTGTTCCAGAGAAACATCTCTAAAAACTTCTCCGTATTGACCCTTTTGTATTTACTAATGTTACCCTCTCAACTCATAAATTTCATTTATTATATTCTGACATAAATTCCTGCACGATAAGAAATTTTTGATGATAGTGTGATGATTAATAGTGAAACGAAGTATTTTAGCGATCATCTTTCAGAACGTTAACCACTCGAGTGCAGAGCTTTTCGCAACAGAAAACTATTGTATCCTGGCCTTCGAAAGTGAAATGATAAAAGCTCATAGCTTATCATGCCAAACAAAACACAGTTACGTAACATGCTCGAAACATAAGATAAATCGCTGCGTAAATAAGGGCGCTCACCGATCTAGTCCACTTTTACTACTACTATCCATACCAACTCGCCGAGACTGGTCGCTCCAATCAATCGCTTGCAGTCTGGATATTAAGGTATTTTCTAGCCTTTCTCCTGAGGAACACCAAGATCTCGTGTACTTACACGTGAACTTAATCGCGGAAGGTATCGATTTCGGGACAGCAAACACCCTTTTAGAGCCACCTTCGACTTCAGAAAACTTTTGTAGTGATCTGCCAGCGAGGAGATGGCATTGACATTAACTGTTAAATTCAATTACACAATCTTCAATTCATCCCCAGACGAGAAAGGATCCGCGAATAACAATAAGAGTTCGACAGCTTCTTGTTAGACGAGACAGTAAAGCAGTAATCCTGGAAAGGAGCACGTAGAACGGCACCTAAAAGGGTTGTTTTCTTCTTCGAATCCTGTTGGTGTTTCGAATAAGCAATAAAGATCTCGAAAAAAGGCAACGAGACATCTATTTCCATAATACACCATAGGCTTTCGAGACTTGGAAAAGCGGAGTTTCGCGGACACAACATCCGGTACCATGTGGCGAGAGGGACGAGAAGGGCACCTTCAAGTAAAGATCACAATGTACTGGAGCTCGCTAGTCAAGAGCTCATCAGAGAATTAGTACCGAAAAACCCATACTCCGATGTTGGAAGCTTTTGAATCTTCTGAATCTTCTAGGCCTTTTTAGATTTATTGCTGAAAAAAAGCAAAAGCTCAAACTTGGCAAGAATCTGGAGAAACGTTCTTGGCAGATATAGAGAGCAGTTCCGAGTGGCCATGAAAAGTAGTGAAAGAATGTCTGTCTCGAGACAAACATTGTTTTACTACTTTTCATGGCCAGACCGACCTGTCGACCTCTCTTAGTCAGAGCGAATTCATAGAGGTTTGGTCTCGCAACCACCACTCTAAC